CAGCATTTAGCAGGAAGCGAGACTACTCCCTGTTCCGGCTAGTCCCTGTCCTGTCCTTTGGTCAGCCCCTGCTGCACCCTACGGCATGGCCCTGGAGCCCCAAAGCCCTCTGTTGTACCCTCAGCACCACAGCCCCCAGTGCTGCTGTGGTACGACCAGGTTGCAGCTGGCGTTCATTGCAAAAATGTGGCCAATCCATTCAGCCCTCCCTCTCATGGTACAAATGAGTAAGGCATAAACCTGGTGTGAATTGATTGAGTGGTCACCTTAGCAACATTATTTCTTCTGCCTTCCCCAGCCCGTGGCTTGCATCTTATCTGTGCAGCCCCACATACATCCTGTTTCTTCCATATCTCTGTAGGTTGGCTTCCCCCAGCTCCACCCACTGCCTCCTGTTGCCAGCAGGAGCACAAGGCTTCATTTGCTTGTTTTTTGTAAGAGAGCATACCCATTTGCTCACAACCTTTGAGCACAGGGCTTTGGGTTCCCATTGCCATTGGCCAGTAGAAGTTGAAACAGTGGCAAGGGCAGGATATCAACAGATGCATTTTTAATTGGCATAGGGAAATTGCAGTGATTACCTGCCTTAGCTGTATGTCAATCAGCTGAGGGCTTTCCTCTGTAGCAGTAGTATTAATGTGCAGGAAAGCTGGGTTTACATTGGATGGATGGATGGATGGATGGATGGATGGATGGATGGATGGATGGATGGATGGATATGTGCAGCACTTGGGCAACAGAAATCAACTTCCATAGAATTTCATACTATAGGCCTTGTTTCCTTCTTAAAACCGAGATTCCTTCATTAGACAAGCCTCACCATTTCCTAGTACCTATGAAGCAGGTTACGGAACATATGAAGCCAGGAAGTGAACAAACTTTAGCAAATTCTAGAACTAGATGCCCTGCTTGAAGGCTAAGACATGGTCTTCTACAGCAATCCTTGAAGCTTGATGTTTTCAAATAGATGAAAGCTATGTTCAAGGTTGGCTTATCTGACACCTTTCAAAGTGCTAAATTCATGTAAAAGATGAGTGCTGAAAGTGGCGATAAGTGAAATGACATTGTATTTTTGAAAGTGCAGCATTTCATACCTGGAACAGTGTGGCGGTTTCCCCTTGGAACTGCTGCTTTGGAGAACATCATGGTTCACTGACGTGGCATAGCAGTCTCCTCCTTGTGGATACTTTGCACATTGCAGAAGCTAATTCATCAGGCTTTCTGGTTTAGATTCTAGCCCAATATTGCTAGTAAAAGCAGCTAGTGAATGTAATACAAGGCTACAGCTGGGCTAAGGAGTGCTTGCTTTCATAAACTGACACTTAGAAGCAAGTACTTAAGTCCCAGAAAAGACCTGTAGAAGTGCAATTCTAAATAAAAATGAACCATCATGATGCAGCTGCTTTCAGGTAAGCATCAAGAAAATATAACCTAATTTGTATACATAAAATGGTCATTTTTACAGCTACAGTATGGATTTTAAAATGATAACATATTGAGTTAAAACTGTAATGTTTTTAAACCTGTCATAACCTTAGTCAGACTGAATATAAAAGTGTTATTTACCTGCAACTGTAGTCTGCTTAGCACACAGCTGTTTTAAAATTATGCGTATCAAGCAGCACAGCAATTACAGTGTGCATAGCAGGGACTTTATCCTACAGAATGCTGATGATATGTGAGAGCTGTGTAGTACTTGCATTTGTTATTAAAGCATATGCACAAGGCATCCCTTTGAAGCACTCAGCACCTTTAAAGTTTGGTCAGTGTAGTCATGTTTTCCTTCATTGGTCCATCTTGGAAAACACTGTTAGCCTTGCTGAGAGTTTGGCAACAACAGCAAAAAGTCACTCCACCTCTCTTCACTGCCATTGTGGCACAAATGTGGGTGCTTGGACTCAACAATCCAATAAAGGTCAAAAGAAGCTCACAACTGACTGGCAGTTTGTTTCAGGTATCCTGTGAGCAGTGGTGTCAAGTCCCAGGCTTCAGTTTAAGCAAGCTCTGAAGCATGTCCTTCATTTTAAGCACATACCTACCAGAGCCTTTAAAGCTTTTCTGAGCTGAGTGAGTGTTGACTCAGTAACCACGATCATTAATAGAGAAGGAAATGTGAATTTAGAAGAAGTGTCTTTGGCCAGGCCCTGACCTGTGCTTCTGATGTGGCTGAACTGAAACCTGAGTTTGAAACTGAAGGTGCTCTTGAACCGTGGGTAGATGCTCAGCATGCCACAGGTGATGCTAAGTGTTGCACAGATATCCTGTCTTCATTGCAATGCCATCTGGCAAGAAGAGCACCCATTAATACTTTTACTGGTACTTTGCAAGGCATTAAATATTATCTTCACAAAGATGCTGAGGCATTGGAAGTAACTTTGCCTAAAATGCTTGATACTGACAATGATAGAGATGGAGATAGAGATCTGATAGAGAGGACTTCTCAGTTCTGGACAAGTACTCTGCCCAGTGAAGTCTTCAGAAATGGACACAGCTCCAGGCAAGATGATGTGGGAAGAACACCAAAGAGCCCTGTGGCTCGTGCTTATCTGTAAATCAAATTCTTGGTGAGATGGTGAGATGAATACTAATGAGTCAGTCTTGCTATGACTGCAAAGAGAGACAGCTAGGTCTGTGATGTTACAGATCAGTTCATCGCAGAGCAGTCATTTGGTGGCAATTTATCATCATCACTCTAGAGGTGTGTCATTCATTTTACTGAATGACATTGGAAACCAACTGTAGAGTCCTACCACAAATACACTTGGTTCTGTAGCAAGGAGCCATGGGAAAAGAAGATTTGGAGAGTGGTTTTTATTTTAATTGTTTTTTCAAAATCTCTCGATGAAAGATGTGACAAATAAGGAAAAACAAATACACGTATTTTATTGTTTATAGGTTTTATTAGTTTTTAAGGAAAGAATCAAAGAAATTTCAACCAAAAAAAACAGTAGCAGAGGCTATATGATGAGCAGATCTAAGAGTCATTTTAATATTTGATGCAACTTTTCTGACTTTCTAATGAAATACCTCTCAAGATGGGGGTAAAAGTGGTGGTTTGGAGCTGTTTGGTTGCCCTGTCAGTTTAGATTATGATAAAGTGGGAAACTGAAGCTATATTTGCATTTCAGTGTGTTAGTGTGTTACTTCAAACTCTCCACATCGAGTGACTTCTCATAGATGATTAAAAATACTGATGCCCAAGAGCCTTACAGCCATTCTGCCTGCCAGAGGGGTAAACTATAACACAGAAGTGAATGGGCTGAATTCAGTAAAGCACTTAAAAATGTGAATCCATTCTCTGTGAGTGGAGAGCTTACGTGTATGTTTTTAAGTTAGGTGGAAAGCTGCAGGAATTGGGTCCCCTTTTGAATGGCTCTGTGCACAGCAGTTCTGTGTGAATTGCTCTGCACAGCAATCTGCATTGAGTCAGAAGCAGATCCCCAAGCTAGCCAGGAACTGAAGTTGTGAGCCCTGCCTTTCATTCGCATCCTGACAAAAAGTACTCCTCCATCACTCGCGTGACATCTCTTGTAGGGGGAGGAGAAGAAGAACCTACTAACAGACCAAGTCTATGAAAGTCTTAGCATGACTTTCTGTTTTTATGGAGTCAGTAGCGAGCGTTGACTTGTGGCACTGCATGGAACAGGGTTGAGCTTTCACAGCCATAGCTGTGGTTTTGGTATGCTGTGCTAATGCTGAATGACTGGCAAATAGCTTGAAATGGATGTTCTACGTGATTTAGAAATAATGTGAGCCCTGACTGAACTTCTGTTGGGTTTTCCTTCCATTTGCTGTTTCAACATGAGAACAAGGAGGGCATTATTTATAACAACAAACGTAAAGTCTCACAAGGAGAAATGATGTTTTGAATTGACAGAATCTTGAAAGTGCAAATGGGGTTTCATAGCTAAATACATTTTCAGACAGGAAAATGAGAGTTAATCAAAAGTTAGATGTCCTTGAAAAAGCTTTCTTTTTTTTTTTTTTTTTACTCACTTGGAAATATTTGCAGCTGTCTTGATGCAAAGGCAATCAGAATATCTATATACCTATATCACAGCATCTCAGCAGTTACACTATTTTAAAAGTACTTGAGTGGATTTCTTCATTGATGTGATCCAGTCAGAATGGGACATATCAGGAGCAATAAATCAATAAATTGTTTAGAAACTGGAAAGAAGAGATGTTTAAAAATTTAAATTCAGCTTATAAAGCCTATTTTTAAGGAAGTATAGCATTCTGGGGGAAATGAAAAATGTTCTAAGAGATTTTCAGAAAGGCATTCATTCCATGAAAGATCCCATTCAACATGAGTCAATTTGGGATAGGAGTCCATGTCTTGTAAGTTGTTTATTATCGAGGGAATATATCCAAAGGACTGAATTTTTTCTTAAAGTTGTGTAGGACTGGGTAGTTAATGTGAAACAAAATAAGTTGATGCATTAACTTTGGAAATTATCAACAGAAAATAGCATTGCTTTAATTCACTCAAAATTAGGATATTAAACCATACAGATCCTGATCTTACTGTGTCATGCAGTCAGACCACTTTGTCTTCATGAATTTCAGTTGATATCCCTGAGTTTCTAGAAGAATCATCAGTGCATATTTCATTTCATGAATCTTTTTTAGTTTCCTGAGTGTTAAAATGGAGAGTAAAACTGGCCTAATTTAAAGTGGGTTGGTAGGCTGAATTAATTAAGAATTTTATAGAACTTCCTGTTGCTTAGGTAGGGTTTGCCAAGTAAATGTTAAAGATGAGAAAAAGTTCAGAAAGAATGTCTTTGAAGATTTGGTTGAGAAACCTATCATGGTAGTGATTGGTGGTGGTGGAGAGAGCAGTTTGGACCATGAATCCCTAGTTACTAAAAGCTCCTCGAAGTGAATTGTATCAGATGGAAAAAAAAGAAACCATGGATTCTCCTTATTCAGCGTCTTCATACTCTTCCTTGTGGGGATCTGGAGGAATTATTTCTGACTGTTTCATTTGTTTTCCTCAGGTTGGGGGTCACACCATGCTGCCCATTCGCTGGATGCCTCCAGAGAGTATCATGTACAGGAAGTTCACCACAGAAAGTGATGTTTGGAGCCTGGGAGTTGTATTATGGGAAATCTTTACCTATGGCAAACAGCCATGGTATCAGCTCTCAAACAACGAGGTGTGTGTAATATATTCTCAAACTGCATTGGGAAGGCTGGCACGTTAACTGCTGGTGTAGCTTCTCTGGAGAAGGGAGAGCAACAGATTTATTTAGTAAAGGGAAAACCCCTGATACCAGATATTTATGGTATTGCATGAACTTTGTGGTTGAATTTCTCTCTTTTCACCCTTTTTTTCCCAGGGTGGATGGAAGTTGCCCAAGCAGAACTGTACCAATTGGAACTTAGCTTTTTCCTTTGTATAGGATAGAGTCTGCTCTGGGTATTGAGAAGAACCATGAGGCAATGAAAAAGAGTTCAGCTGTCTCCTGAATGGGCTTTGGGTGATTTCAATTCCATATCCTACATGTCATTGTTGCAGAGTGGTTGTCCAAACATTCTTGAATTGTAGTAATCTGGAGAACGCTTGATTTCCAAGCAGTCACGAGTAACCCTTTTCCAGGGATTAGCCACAGTGATACTCAGAAGTTCAGGGAGGAAGGGAGGGAGAGGCACTGATGCTCTGTGTGAGCAGGGTGAAATTTTAGCATCCTTCTGAGATGAGGTGAGGTTGATAGATGGGTAGAGGGAGGAGGTATCAGATTACTTCCTGGATATCATTCCCTCATGTGTAGAATGGCCAATGTGGGTGAACTTAACGGCAGTGAAGTTACTGCTCCTTGATAACTTACATTACAGTGATTTTTCCAGATCGCGTTCTGCTGCTCATGCGTCTACCTGGAAACACAGCCCTTGGCAGAGTTGACTGAGTGACTGCCACCAGTGAGACTGCTGTGGCGATGAGCAGTTAACTCTTCCTTAGATGACCCCCATGTAGTTGCAACAGATGTGCTGATCTTTCCCTGTGATTTCTCGTAGGTGATTGAGTGCATCACTCAGGGCCGAGTCCTGCAGCGACCTCGTACGTGCCCCAAGGAAGTGTATGACTTGATGCTGGGCTGTTGGCAACGGGAACCTCACATGAGGCTCAACATCAAAGAAATCCATTCCCTCCTCCAGAACTTGGCCAAGGCATCTCCAGTCTACTTGGATATTTTAGGCTAACGTCTCCTAGCATTTCTTCTCACGGGCTGCGGGAATGAATGTGTTCAACTGCCGCTGAACTCCATTAAAATGTGTTCTTAACTTTGACAGTATTAATGACAAAGTTGCGGAGAAGCTTTCAAAGGGCAAGCAATGTGCACTTCTCCATCTGTAGACACAGTATTGACTTTTTAGACATTACTGAGGTGTATCTCCTCTCTCTCTCTCTTCAGTTTCTATCATTTTTTTGTTCTCTCCTGTCTTTCTAATCGATTTGGCTTCTGCATTACTGTAACTCTGCATAGACAAAGGCCTTAAAAACCTGTTCTGTTATATCAGCAGACTCTTCAGTTTGCCCACCACAACTAGCAATGCCTTGTTGTAATCATGCCTTTGATGTGGATGAAAAAAAGGGAAAAATATATTTGACTCGAACTTTGTGATTTCTGCTGTACAGCTACTGGGAGTTTCTATGGATTCACCTCATTTTTTTTTGCTTCGGCATGTGGGTGGAAAAAAAAGACTGGTGTTCTCTACATGAAGCATGTTCCTTGCAGAGATAAAGCCAGATGGAAAGAAGACAGTCTTGTGTGATACACTATCTGGAGGAACTAGGGGATCAGATGGCATCCAACCCCACAAAAAAAAACACTGAAATGATTTGATGGAAGGCAAGAGGGGGTTTAGCACTTTCCCTGAAGAGTCTTTCTGAGGACTAAAGGGATTGTTCAAGGAAGTGCTCTGCCAGCACCTTTCATTGCCAGATACAAGTAAAAGGGAAAAAGAAGCTGCCTGCACTGCACTCAATTATGTTACAACATGATAAACTAAACATATGCCCTTATTTTGTCTTCTGGTAGGGTATTGTCATGCCACTGGTATAAAAATGTTCTCCAGCTAGTCTTTTTTAGGATGAAGCTAGGCTTATTAATGTACAGTATTAATTTCAGGATCACATGTTGAAACTAAGGATTTTGATAAGATGGGACAAGCTGTAGATGCTGAGGCAGGTGTATCTTATACTGTGCTTGTCCAGCAGCATATCCCTTCCTTCCTCAGTCCTTTTTCTTTTTTTTAACCGTGCAAGCAAAACTGTGCATGGTCTTTGTCGATTAATGCCCTTTGTGCAGAAACTATCACTCATCTTGTAGTACATCCTAGTAGGCATAGCAAACTCATAGCGATATAACTTATATTTCATTAGAAGGGGCTAATGGAGGACATTAGCCGTGTTAAAATGCCTTTACAATGTTACAGATACAATAGGCTGATATAACATGAATAATCTAAAGCATGGGGATCACTGGTTGTGTTTGAGCCATGGCAGGGGATACAGATCTCTAGAGAAAACAAATTACTCTGAGGTTATGTCTTACTATTCAGAGTGCAAAGGCCCTGAGCTCAGCACCATGTTTGTATTGTTACTAGTGCTGTCGTTACCAACATCCACTCTTTCTTAAATAATTTATTTTTTGTTGGATTGGCTTTGTATGTGTACAGCATTTGCATGGCCACTGTGTTGATGACAGCTGCATGGGCATACTTGTTATTTTTCAAACCGGAAGTTGACTATTTCAAATTTAGAGTTAGGATTATTTTTAATATGAATTCTTACAAATGAAAACCTACCTTACCTGTTCCTCAAGACTTTTGCCTCCCTCTGTGAGGGGGCGTTACTGCAAAAAAGTGATCTTTCTTTCTGTTTTCTCTTTTTGTTATTTCTTCTTGATATGAGCCAGATCAAAATAGTCCTTCATATTTGTGTTGGGGATATTTTATTTAATAAATTAAGCATTTTATTTTTGTAAGTGTTCCCATAGCACATTTAATATATAATTTGCTTGCATATATCATTTATTGAGGCACTTTAGGTTTTTCCTTCAGAAGCTTTTAGAGTTAGCTCATAAAGATTCTGAACTTTTTCAAAAGAAAACAGTTCACTGGACACTGATGAAGTTTCACCCTTCTCAATGTCATTGAAAAGGCAGCATTACAAATAAACATGACAATGTGACTATAAAGCCATATTCAGTATTTCTTTAATAAACTAGATGTTATTTCTTAACCACTACTGAACTGGAAACACACAAAAAGCCGGAGGAAGATTCCTACAAGATGGGCCTTAAGATTTTATCTAGACTGTCTTGGAAGTTCACACAGAAAGCTAGGTAAAGACTGAGCATCCAGTGAAACCCAATCTCTTGAGAATCGAATGTTGTGTTTTAAAGGAATTTGAGTTGATTTTCAAAATAACAGTGGTGACAAAGAAGGGTGTCAGAGTCCGCTCTTGCTGTGCAGTGGGAGCAGGCTGCGGCTGGTGGAGGGGTGTGCTAAGTTTCTACCTGCTGTATTCTGTCTTAGTTTCTTATGAGCTGAAGAAAAAAGCGTCTGAGATGCTGCTTCTATTGGAAAACCGGCTCCAGCCTGAAAGCAAGCAGGTGGGTTTTGCAAGCACTGATAGAATGTATACCAAAAATAACCACAAAACCCTGAAAATGTACTTAGTGGCATCTTTTTGATTTACTAGTGAGACTATTAGAGTCATTTCTGAGAATAAATAGTGTTACAATGCATTGTGCAATAACATAGCAGTACATTAAACTTCTAAAGGACCAAATGTTCTACAGAGCCACTGGTATGGATAACCTTGACCTATATCATTAATGTTCTTGATAGTGCATAAAATGTATAATCACAGTAGTCAAGCTATAAACTGTAGCTATACATAGTTTGTGTTTGTTCATGAAAAGGTGGGTAAGTGTAGCAGAATGAGCAGAGAAGAGGAAGAAATATGTTCAAATCATAAAGAAGGGTGAGTATATGTGCATATTCATCATGCTTGCACTGTCAGCTAACTCGTGTACACTGAATAAATATGACAATCAGGCTCATTTAAAAAGTCTTTCTGGACTGTGCTATGAACTGATCATATATATAATATATATTATATATGTGTGTTTGCATATGGCATATATATATACACACACATAGCATATACATGTATGCCTATGTCTGTTGTATTTTATTTATATTATGTGCAGACATGCATGCACATTATGTATGGGCTGTGTGTATATGTATAAATTTACATACACCTACATTATTATAAATGATGGTTAGAATGCTATTAATAAATTGATGAAGTCTGATGAGCAATCAAATTTTTTTTTTCTTTTGATATTTCTTTTTCTATGTTTATAAGACTCAACTTTTTAACTGGTGTGCAGCAGAGGCAGTGCTAGAATGCCAGAGGTATAACAACAAGCACTTTTCTTCCCCAGATGATTGCATGAAAACATTTCTTCCATTCCCATCTCACTTGTTGATTTCTCACAATGAAATGAACAGACAAGCTTCCAAGCTCGGAAACCAGAGTTTGTTTTACTGTGATTTCTGGGTTTGTGCTATTGTTGTTTTATTGTCCTAGAATAACAGTGCAGCTCCATTAGCATTTTATACTCGTCTGCAGTAACGAAATAATTCCAAGAATGAGCTGGACTATTCAGACTGCAACACGACTTGTAGGACAATGAGAATGCCAAAATTCAGCAGTAATAATAGCAGCATTCGCCACACTCTGTCCTTCACTCTCAATAGATCCGTAGAACTCAGAACTGGCCATGGAGAACAGATACTTGTAAAGCAACAGCACCCCATGATGCATGATGGAGTGTACCCTTTTCAAAAGGACTGCATTCATTTTGATTTGTAAAACAATATATCTGTATATTGTCTAGAGTTTAATAAGTAACTGCCCATTTTTTCTCTTTTTCTTTCTTTTTCATCTTTTCTTGCTATTTATTTATCACTTTCCTTCTTTCTCT